TTTAATATAACAGCAAATGTACACCGTTTCGACAAGGTTTTGTCATCATCAGATGACAAAAGTTTGTCGAAACGTTGTACATTTGCTGTTATATTAAAGTTTTTCTTCATTACCCATTCAAGCCGTCTCCAGCCATTATTTGTAGCACTAGTTTTGCATCTAATAACCATTCTTCTTTAAATATCCGTGAATTCTTCTTTTTCCTGACTTCAGGACTCCATATAGCTGCTTGTTTTAATTGCTGGTTTTTATTAACCTTATACACGAAATTCAACGAGGACGAATTCGTTACTTGTTGAGGTGTGATGCTCTGAGCCTTCTGTTAATGTAACTTGCATACAGAAGAAGTGCTAATATAGAAGGCGAAGAATATTTGCGTGAAATGTGACGAAATCAGATCTTATGTGCCATAAAAAATAATTTTTAATAGAGAGCATTAGGGCTACTATTACTACAAGATTGACCTTTGTGAAGAACTAAAACTGGATTTTCTTTTATTTTGTTCCTTATGTACTGTCTGGTACCACTCACAATCACAATTTAAACATATAATAGTGATTACCGTTGTTTTTTATTATTTTGTTGTTGTTGTTGTTGTTTTCACTTTTCGTGAAACTTTTAATTTGTTCAACACAAATCACTGTAGATACGTATAGCTTGTTTTTCTTTTGATAGAACAGTATGCCTCACACAAAATGCTAACTATTCAGTATTGACATGATGTTTATAATATTTATTTTTCTTTAGGGCTATTGTTAATAATTCATGTTTTTTCAGAATATTAAGATCTTCATAAACTTTCGCACTCGTTTTCTCTGTATTATATATCACAGATAAACCGAATAGTTCGTTATGTGCCACTACTACTGTTCAGAAGGCGCACACATTTCAATAGTTCTGGATCTTTTAAGTGTTTTAAAAACGAGAGATGTAATTGGTCACAAAAACGTGTGTGAACACAGGGTTCTGTCTGGAAATTCGAAGTAGGAATATTGTGTGCACAAATAGTAAACACAAGCAGTTTGACAACAGTAAATTCTCGTATAATCTAAACGAAATCGAAGTAATTACACATATGTGTGTGTAAGAAAAACGTGTTAGTCTTAATACAAGTTAAGGTTAACTTTAAGCCATTCATTCGTGTATGTAATGTCTTTTTCTGTACCGTATTGGATGATGAAAGTAATACGTGATGTTATGTTGACTTGTGTATTTAGAAGAAACTTTTCCATAAAATTTGCGAACCTAGATTAAGTACTTCAACATTTTACATTTACAGTGATTAAAGTAACATATATGACGTATCGTATAAACAGCAAGTTTCACATCACTGATGTTGAAAAAAAAAGAGGTGATTATTATTTTGTCCGTAATGTTGTCAAAAAAATCCATTGTTCATCGGCGAAACCTGTTACTTTGTGTTCATCTGTTGCTTCAGTATCAAGTGGTGCCTGCAGCCTATTCACGTTAAAGATGAATACAAACCTGTCAGTCTATTGCATCTTCTTATAGCGCTTTTGTGTTTGCATACAGAATGTCATTCATACGTGTCTCGTATTTAAGTAGTCAGCCTGGGTATTTGCTTTACATTTCCCTGAGCGTGTACTTCTATTTCTTTTGGGAAATTTTATCACGCGTGTGCACCCGGTGGGGTATTATTCTTGTCGTGGTGTAAAATTGATGTAACTGT